ATTTATTTATTTATTTATTACTATTTTTGTGTTCTTCACATTGTTTTGTCCAATGACATAATTTATTTTCTTATTTCACTTAGATAAATTTGGTGCTCATTTCACTCTTTTTTCGGTGCTCTTTTCACATATAATTAATTTGGTGCTCTTTTCACATATAATCAATTTGGTGCTCATTTCACCTCTCCTTCGGTGCTCAAAACACCCCCCACCCTTTTCATATAGCCGGCGGTAAAGGGTTAAAGATGAAGTGCATCGCGGTACATTTCAAAACTAACGAAATCAAGAATAATTTGACTTAGTATCATGGAATTCTATCAATCTCTCATGACTTATTTGTTGTGTCGATAAGGTTCTCATAGAAAAATTGTATTGTTTTCAAATTTGATTACCTGAGTACAACGTGTAGAATCAATGAAATAGCTCGACTTTTATCAAAATCGGAACCTGTTGAGACTAAAAAAAAGACATTCTTTTAAAATGCAATTATACAGTTGAATAAATACATTGACAATCGATTACTCTACAATTAATTCGATCAAGTATAGGCTTTTTATAAACAAAATAAAGAAAACGTTCTTCAAAGTAAAAGTATTCTATTGGATGAAACACTATCCTTGTAACTAAGTAACTTGTAAGTATGGTCGGTTCCGGTGACTTACCAAATAATGCAACAAAACTCTATAAAACTACGATACCATTAACTAAATTTTTGCTGACTTTCATCTGTAGAAGTATTGTCTTACGTTGAAGCGAACTACATCATATTGAAAGATTTTTCCCGTCGTACATCACGAAAAAATTGCAATTCGTTCATCATAAATTCTTTTCAATGACATACAGAATTATGTAAGCCATTTTAATTATTGAAGCATCAGAAGAGAATCATATATAATTATCTCGTTGATTTTTGCATGTTTCGATTAACAGCTGATCAAGAACTAAAATGCAAGTTTAAAAATTAAGAAAAAAAGGTTAAATTGCACCATTTAAACTGAACAAAATTTGTATGTAAAAATAAAATATTCTTAGAGACTTTCTGAATATTTGAATCAGAGACGAAGACTATCATTTATAAAGCGTTCATTGTTTTCAAACAAAACATTCGAAAATTTATATCACTGGCACTCATAAGTTTCAAATATAATGATTAAACGATCTATAATTCATCAATCAATATTACAGTCAATCATCTATTCTATTGAATATCATATGAATAATTACATCCTATTTTAAAATACTATTACTGCAATAAGAATAATACTTAGAACGTCTACTGACTCTTTGAAAAATACTATGTCAAAGGAGTTTTAAAATTGTTAAAAATGAATGAACTAATCGGAAATTCATTTTCTGTGATTTTGCTCTTGATTAGAATAAATACGCTAAATATTTCATGAGCCGAAGAGTTTACATAATAACTAGGTTTATACGAAGCAACTCATTGAGATGTATGATAAGAAGAAAATCAAAGTTAGCTTTGACAAAAATCTATTCCATGAAGAATAGCATCCTGTACATTCGATATCGAAATAGACAAAAATGATATATTTGTATTAATTAAAAAGTTTCGTTTTTTTTTCTAAAAAAAGAATAACAGTATTGGCGCCAATGTATCATGAATTTTCTACAATGGTAACCGTCTACACTCATTGATTTTATTGGATAACAGCAATTAATTGTACGTGATAGACATTCCATCATCTAGTTTCGGTTATTAACGATTCCAATAGCTCTTATCTGATCTATGCTAAAGTAATGATACGAATTTCATATATATTGTGTTGAATTTTGATTTATTTCAATAGAACATTATACATTAGTTGTCCATTGATTATTTAAAAAAATATCAATAACTAAAACCATGGATAGCGGTGATAAATATTGTATGCCTAACATACAGGCCAATCGAAAAAGTGTATCTTGTTCTCAGATGGTAAAATGATTTTCAGAAACGATTTATTTAAAATATCAAAACCTTTTTCTATTTCGCGTTGTTAACAAATATTATTCATTTCGAAATCTACTATGTTTCCTTTTATTAATCGTAGAATGTTCAGGAAGATATTCTGTCACCCAACATTTTCCTAAACAAATTAAATATTCCATTGAATTGTCTTGGCGATGATCGAATTCGACAACAATATCTTGAAGAATATTCAGCTAAATATTTTAAAGCAAAACATTTATTGAATAATGCACGAAAAAAACAACGAAGTACATTGTTGCTGTTTTGTAGAATATGTTAAAGATTTATTTTGTGTCATGCACGTATATCTTTCAGAAATTATTATGATTTACTATGAAGAAAAAGTTAAGCAAAATAATATCGATGAATTACAAACAATTAAAGAATCATTACTCAATGAAAACGAAAAAATCAAAAAATTTAAAGACGCTTTAAAAGATAAACTTACGATCTATCAAAAACGTATTCAACTTCTTCAAGTATAACTAAAAATTTTATATTTTCTTGATGTTCTGAACGTGAAATTTTCTTTTAATAAAAGGACACTGAATTTTGGTCAACATATGACATTGGACAAACGCAAAACAATACGCATGGATCAATTGAATATTGCGCAGAGAAGTGAGTCACATCGATCTTACTGTTTTCTATCGAAATTTATCCATACAAACTAAACATTTTTGATTAATATTTTTTGTAATGCACACTATCTAGTTAACTAATACAATCGCCTAAAGACATAGAACAAAGAACAACTATAAATCATAAAATAGTATCTCTTTTAGGTCTCAAAATTCATGTTCCACTAGACAGAGCCTTCATTCGTTACATGGTAAAAGCATGAAACATATTTTCTTCTAATTTTACACTTGATTTGTAGACCGTGAGCAAATGGAATATCCGGTGTAGATTATGAAAAATGTGCGTTTTTTATTTAATATCTTTTCTATTTTTAGCCATCTTGTTGATAATATATGTACAACGAATACTTACGAATATTATTATTCTGAATTGAAACTAAACGAAGATAATATGTCTTCCATAAATAATAATGATTATGATAATAAATTAAATGATTCATTTGATAATAATGCTATCTCGAATCGAAAAGATGATCATAATCTTATTGAAATCAATTTAAAACATCCAAAACAGTAAGAAGAAATCATCGTTTGCTTTATTTAAGAAAAGAAAAGTAATGAATCATTTTAGATTAAATACTAAATTAATATCTGAAGTAAGTAGATTTTCCTAGAAAATCTTCAACAGTATTTTAAATTAATTGTTACGTAGAAGTATCATCTGAAGGTATCGTACTAGATTTGATCTTGTATCCTGCAAAATGTGATCCCATCCACTGTTAATGATTAATTTGCTAAGATAATGATTGAATATCGTTTAGTTGCGAATGATTTCCGTACGTTTATCTTATTTTAGGTACATCTATTGATGATAGATTGAGAAATGTCGTGTACGCGAACTATAGAGCAATTGAATAACGACAATCATTAGTGATGGATATCTTTAATATTCTTTCAGCTTTCATTAATAACTATCAGAAAAATATTCTATATTAAGTATTGAAACCGCTTTTGCCCTTAAAAAGTAATTACAAGACAAACATCAATAATACAAATTTACGCCAATAGTTCGATTTGAATCAAATTACTGTTATTTTTTTTCTTCTTGTGAAAAAGTTTTTATTACATACATCGATCTCGATTACTAGTAATCCATAAATAAAATATATAGTTCAACCACGATTGACTGTTTGACAATTAATATGATCCTTTGTTAATACACATTTAAAAGGACGTGTTATTTATTTTGAAAGATTGTATGTTATCGTGAGCAATATATACTGTTAAAGATCAACAGAACGTTTGAGTAATTGAGCAACAGTTTTTTATGAAAATCAATATTCATACATATACATATAATGATGAATGGTTACCTAATGACTGACATGAGAATATTAAGTAGAGATAAGCTCGATCGATTGATTAATGCAATATCTTTGACAATTCCTTAATATATTACAATAAATACTTTCTGTTACAAGCCATGACTATCATCATCTATTATTACTATTCATTTCATGTATAATCTTACTCTTTAGCAAATATAAAATAAATGTGAAAAATTCGGATTTCACATCCGAGAGTTATGTGTACTGCAAAAAGTGCATGAGACATACGAGTCATTCTAGAATGTCTGAACATCAAAATTATCATGAGAAACTAGGCAATTTGATTTCTGGACGCAGATTTTGTGCATTTTGAGACGCTTTTCAGACGATGTTTCGTTAGAAAGCTACGATTTAGTTCAAAACTAATATCAGATTCGGAATCAGCGTTAAAAACTGAGTCGATTTATATATATTGTGAATAATTCTGGGGAAAATTTGTTTTTTGAAAAATCCCGGTGCCCCCCCCCCCCCCCCGGCGGCGGGGGNCCTCAGGGATGGTCTGGTCAAAAATGACGATTTTTTCGATAACTCAGCCATTACTTGACGAATCCTTCTCATCTTCGAACTCGACCGAGATATTGATGAGATCATTCTGTGTACAAAATTTCATGGTAATTGGATGAGGCTTTCGAAAGTTATCGTGCCTACGGTCGGCCGGACACGCTGATCGATTCTCGAGTGTACTCGTTTTTTGAGTACACAAAAGAAGAAAACTAAAGTCTACATGTCTATTTTACCAGCGAATAAATACTAAATGTATTTTAATTAAATATTTACTTTTAGATTGATCAGAATATTGACATTTTCATATCAGAAAAACAAGTAAAACAGTATTTTCAATGGTTAAAAAAGATTGGCCAATTTATTTTCATGTTAATTTCAAATGATCGATTTCAAATTATTAGGTTAGTAATTCAACAAAAACAAAGAAGAAACTATTATAAAATTCACTTTTTCTCTAATAACGACCTATAATTGTGTCTATCTAGAGAACAGAATTATGTAAATACAGATTATATATATATGCATATATATAATTGTATCATCGAGCAAATGCCTTAGGATACTGATGACTTGTTCATTTCGATTATTTCTATTGAATAAACAATAAAATTCATATGAAAATATCATGTTATATTTTCGTTTTAGTATGATTCTAATGTTTGGTCTTTCTATGTTTGTTGTTATATTTGTTAATAATTTACTTGAACATTTTCTGATATATATAACAAAATCGTCCACCTCAATCACAACAGTATCTTCTCAAAATTCAATGCCAGAATCATCATTTTCATATTTGCTTTCCAACATTTACAATTGGACAACTTCATGGGTGTTACTAATCTCTCACATATTTTCCTTTTAGTAGCTAAATGTCTAATTGCAACAAAAAAGAAACTTCTATTTTTTGCTGACTGTTTTTTTAGCTAATTGTCAACCAAAGCAAAAATCTATCCATCTATCAATGTATATTTATGTATATATATAACATTAAGATACATTACCAGAAAGCTGATGACTTCTCAAGTTTGTTTTCATACTTGTCATCTTCATAATGAATTTATCTTATGGTTGCTAATGCATAGTTCTCTTTCTTTTTGTATACGTATACAAATCAAAAGAAATATAGAATGGTTAATATTTCACTTTTCTTTTTTTCTTGTCTTCTAAAGATAGTCTGTGGATATGATTTGACGATACAATATCAATATATATATATATATGTCAAAGCGAACTTCTAGTATTTATGGAAGCGTCAATCGCATTGTTGAATAGACTCGACCGGATTTCAAATCAACATGACATCAAGCGACAGAAAGATATAAGTTGATAGCTGTTTTTGTATTATTGTAAAAAGAGAAGATATAACTTACTTTAATAGATAAATCTGCAAGAATCTAGTTAGCAATAACTAATGTTAAGTTTTAGTCATATTTTATGTAATGTATAACTATCTAGTTTGGGGTTCATGAAGTAGTTTTTTGAAATGCCACACTCCACTATTAATAGCACATCAGAATAAAGTTATTACGATCTAAACGGGAAAAGTAAAGTGAATGATAAAATTAAGGTCAGCATCCTATTATAGATTGAGTTTAAAAGATAATTGTCTGCAATATAAAATGCCTACTACTCCGATCTTTGATTGTCTCTTGGTACTGTTGAAATATTTAATATACTACGAAAGGTTGATCTGACTTTTTTTGCATACATTGTAGATTTCAGAATCAAGTAAAACACTTGAAAAGATTGCACATATTACATTCTGTTGCATAGCTTTGCGTTTACTTCTTTATTTCCTACACGTTGTTCGTTGAAGTAATATCTACTTACTCTTATAAACTATTTCCAATTGATGCAGAAATAAACATAGATACATGATAAACAATAAAAAAAGATTCAATCAAATGAGATGTTTATGTGATTCAATTTAACTCTAAGTCTGACTAGCGTTTATTTTACTGTTTTAAATTGCATGTTCCTTCTTGACAAATAGTTGAAATGTTGTTTTATATGACAGAGTAATATTGAAGAGATGCATTGCATTAACAACACAATGTACATAGATTTATCATCATGTAAAGTATGAATAAAAAGTAGTTCTTATTTTTTTTCTCTAAATAGACTGTTCAGCATTTGTTTGTGAAATAATTCTTTGTGCTCGATAAAAACGAACGTTTAAAGATACCCATACATCTGGATCTTACTATAATCAATTAGTTAGTAACTAATTACTTGGTCTTGAGCTGATCTCAAATCCCTTATAGATAATTATAGAACGAATCAGCAATCTTTTCAGCCAATATAATGCAATATGATGCATACTGCTCTAGCCACAATAAACGATTGATCGAGTTTTTCCGATGACTGCATTGATTATCGTAATTGCCAGTCTGATAGAATGGAAACTTACCAAAAAGTCTGAAAATAGTTTCTCTAGATTTATCTATGTGTGAAACTGAAATTCATTATTGTATATCATATGTCTAAGATAAGCACAAACTAGCCTACTATTATGTTGTTTTCGAAACAGTGGAATCAGTCGTTAATGTTTGAACATTAGAAGAATTTCCCTAACAATCGTCTAATCCAATCGAGTATAGTGCACAACAACATAAAAATAATGTGATGATTAAGCAAACACGCTCATTGAATTCTAACATAATATCTAGCATGCCAATTCATATAATTAATCATCAAGTTAGCTTTTTTCTTCAGTCACTTTCGTATGTGATAGGTAGAGAATGGCAAAGATGTTTATTCTCTACAATTTATGCTCGAAGTAAAAGTAACTACTGTTCGATACCTTCTAAGAAAATGAAGCAAAAGAGAGATATGCACAATAACCAACTTTCGTTTCCCTAACGCATGAATCCATAAGATGCATTTGTAGTAGATCTTGACAAGCGCTACTTTCATAAGACTAAAATTTTTATAATAATTCAAGTAATCAAACATGTGAATGTGTCACATCAGTATAAGACTCAACAAGAATTGTAATAAAATATAATCAACAAACTGATGCTTGTCGTTTAGTTTGGCCAACGGGTTATGTATATGCTTTTTCCGAGGCGGTAACGTACGTAAGAGAGGTGATGTACTAAATGATAGTTGTCCCTGGGGATCGTTTGCCAATCATCTTGATGTAGACGTGAATACATTATAAATATCTTCTTACGATAGTGTCTAACTGGTAATTTCTTCTCCGAACTATAGTTTTTCTAGTCTAATATGTCATCTATCAATCCCAATAGTTAATAGAATATACTCAACACTAAGAGGTTTCAGGTAGTTTTGCTTATTATAGTATTTCAAAATATGTTTTTTAGTACAAAGGAAGTAGAACTATTTTAATACCATAAAAGATTTTGAATATAAATGATATTCAGTCATTCGTAAACTAAAATATATATATATATATATATTGAGTCTTTTCTTTTTCTCTATTCATGAAGAAGTATATTCATTTTTTTAAGATTAGCACATTTGCTACTTTTCTTGTTGCACGGAAATGTATTAAGTAAATTATTATCGTGGAAAAAGTCGATGAAGTTGACAATGAATGAGAGATTGAGCAGTAGTAACATGATGGTTAATAGGTTTTCTTTCATGTAAGAAAATAAAATCGTTGCGGCACGCATTTTCTTCTTCTTCTCTCTTAACCGTGTATGCATGATTAAGTAAGTGATGATTTAATTGTTTTGTAGCATTGGATATATACATGTATTTTTATTTAAGACTTCTTCTTTTTAATATACGTAAAATATTTTAAAAAACTGATTAAAGAAAATCAATTTACTAAATGGTTCACTTTACTGCTTTATATTCTAACAAAATTAATATTTTCTCTTCTTTTCTAGAATCATTTTTGGACAAAAAAATGCAAGGTGCACTACCTCTATATTTGATGCTTTGTGTTTTCTTTCTACTTATTCTTCTTTTTCCGCATAAATTTCCTTTTCTTTGCTCTTGCTCTTTTTCAGCATCTTTCTTCCTATTTTTTTCTCTTCCTTCTCTATCAATTCTTTTTTTCTCAGTCGGTTTCTTTTCAATAGTTAGTTCGGTGCACGTCCGCCATATATCTGTCTTTCTGTTGCTTCCGCAGTTTCTCTAAATCTTGTTCCACGTCGAGCTCATTGATTTTTCTCGAAAAGTCGTCGACCATTTTTCTTCTTACAAAAGAGTATGTAAATAAGTCATGCAATGATGAAAAACTTCGACGAATCTTCGTTGTTCATGAAAAGACTCACATGCATCTATTAGTCAATTCTCAAGTCTATGACACTGAAAGACACGTCGACAAATGAATCCAAATTAAGGTGATGTATATTTAGTTAAGAATTATATATATATATATATATCAGTTTTTCTGGTTTTCTGTAAAGAATAATAACAGAACCAATAGGAAAGACAACAACTAGATCCCACGTAAATGCACTCATGCTCACTATAATACTTTGAGGGTCGTTTTCTAGCATTTTTTTTTGTCTTTTTTTTTGGTGTACGTGTTTTTTTATCAAATTACACGTATACAAAAACCCAATGTGCACTTGGGTTAGCCTTCGTCATTTATAATAGTAAACGGAATAAAGAACAATACTATGGCATCATTCGATGGTGCAATCACAATGCAAGAGAAAGCAGTCAGTTTGCATTTGGGTAAGATATAGCAGCGACAACATCAAGGAAGAACAGAAAGAAAACATTTTTCTCTTCTAAGATTGTCGAACACTCTTTGTTCTGTTCGCGGAACATATGGGTCTCCATGTATTTCTCCTCCTTCTCTTCTCGATCTTGTATGTGCTGACGTTATGTGGATGGCAGTGACCCACTCGTTTGCGTTTAAAGGCCAATGTCTTCTGTGTGCGTGTCGACGCGCACAGCTCTCTTGTTGTATAACTTGCTGTGTTTTCTCTTCCCTCGTTCCTTGTTTCTTTTTCTTTCTTTAACCCTTTTTTTTTCTTTTTTTCGTCGTTCTTTTTTTGCTATTTGCGTTGTAACTATCATGTACGACTGTGTGTGGTTGTAGCAGCAACAGCAGCAGCAGCAGCAGTAGTTCGATTTTGTTACTGGGCATCTATTTAACGGGGTCGATGAGAAAAAGTATAGGACACGTACGCATACGTAAGAACAATTGAGAGAAAGAGGAGAAAAAAGAAAAAGAGACCAGCCTATTCGACAACTGATGTATTATTTCATCTATATTACATCAACCATTATGCTAGCGATGTGCCTGATATGAAAAGAACAGAAGAAAATGCAGACAAGTTTTGAATAGCGCATGGATCAATCGATCTAACAGAGACGGCTTTTCATGATCGCTTTTTTCATATTGCTTGTTTTCCTCTTCATGGTAAAAAGGTTATTATTATCAGCTAAACATTACGTCGCAACCAATTGGATATATAAAGGTTAGATCTGTTTTGTTGCGCCCTATTATTGACTCATTTATTGTTCAAAAGTCAATCACAAAACATATATATACAAATATTCACACACACACATACGCATACACATAGTGTATTCATCTCTATTACATAGGTCTGCATTATAGTAAACTTGAAGAAAAATAGGAGTGCAATTACATTCTTTCTTTCGTAAGATTTTTTTTCTCTTTTTTTTCCATCCCATCAATTTATGCATCGACCGTCAATCTTCATTCACCTGGTGGTAATCGTGGAGCGATAAGAAGTAACAACATTGAGAGGGTGAGCGACAAGAAGCAAAGATAAAATTGCAGCTGACGCGTGCGCCGCGACGGCCTTGTTCTATTCGGGTTTTTCATCGCATCACATCAGATTCGTTTTTCGTCGTTATTCTCCTCCCGTCTTCTCTTTCTACACTGACATCGTTGTCGTGTCGACTATCGCTTTTTGATTTGGTCGACACGCAGTACACCATCGCCCTTTTCCATTCGCTTCGCTTCTCTCCTATTTCTTTTTTTTTATTATTACTCTGCTTTGCTCTATCGGCAACGGTACGACAAAGCTGCCGTTTTTATCTCGATTCTTAGCGAAGGTAAGCGATTTTAAGAGTAGATACTACCATATACGAGAAGGCACACATATTGATGAAGGACATCGCAATCCATCAACATGAATCGTTGGTAAAGCAGCTGACGAGCAACAGCCCTTCGTTGTTCGCCACTTTAGCATCAGTTTAAGCTAATCGAATCAGTATGGACGATCAGTCGAGTGACACATAACAACTACGTAAGAGAAAAAAAGAATTAATTTACGTTTGCCGCCGCTATACTTACTGACTGTCATTAAGTCAGTCACTAGTACTGTTTATGACGTCGATAGGCTTACCTATCGAACAAAAAAGGAAATATATGGGTATGTTTTAATGATACAGTAGTTCTATTTTAGATTTAAAAAGAAAGCAACTACTGTAAACAATACGTTGTCTCGAATCTGACTAGTTTTGCAATCTGCTTGATATCAAAGCGCAGATGCTTGCTTTTCAGATACCTGGCATGCATTGGAAACGCCGATTATTTTACAATATTTATTTTTCATTTATATTCTTTTAGAAAAAAAAATGGTTTGTCTGTCTTATCAACTCAATTATGTTGCGGTGAAAAACTAAAGCTCTTTGTTGTTTATTTTCTAAATAAAATATTTTGACTGACTCTATTAGTAATCGACGAGAATATACTAAATTATCTTATTTGAAACGCCATTGATTTTGAAATAAAACATTCCAAAAATGAGTTTTTTTGTTATCTGAGTGATCCTCTATTATCTGCTATTAAATTACAATTGATAAAATAAATAATATAATATATACGTAAATACCGAACGTGGATTCTTTTATCATATCAACATTAAGACAGATGTCGCTAGAGATTGTACTACGTGATTTTAATCTATTTGAGTTTTATTGATCCTTAAGAATTTAAAAGCTATCAAAGATGAGCACCTAATTCAAAAAAACTGTAATCAAATTTATTACAATCAAATAAAACTCGATATGCAGTAAAAGATGGATAATGCAAGAATTTCTACAGGATTATATTAACGTCTAAACCATTTGTATTTCGAATATTTTTTCGGATTGCCACTTTACAGTAACATATTTTTTAAATTAATCAAAATTTTCAAGATATGAAAGAAATCTGGCATACAAATTTAACTCAATCAACAAGTTTCTCTGATTCTGACTTCACAGTTAACTGTTTGTTTTTTAGGTATAGATTATTGTTTTATTGGCTGGATTAGAATCTAGTCGTTAGACCATTAGATAACAAAATAATAATAATAAGGCGCGTAAATATCTAACTTTGAGTATGATCGAGGCAATCTATTGTACTCTCTTAAATGATTCTATGATTTTTGAATAATTTTAATAAGATATAGTAAAATTACGAGGCACAATACTATGTAAAAAACGAACGAACGGCACCGTACGGCACACACAATTGAAAACGTCTATAAATGGCTGTAAAAAAGACCAATGCGAAAGACACACTTAATCATTAACAGGACTGTTAATCGCGTGCATCCTTCTTTCTCTTCGTGTAAGTCTAGTATTTGTTGCGTATTCATTCGCTTGCTAAAAGTTGTATTACTACACATATAAAACGAATATCAATCTGTGAACTAAAATTAATTCACTGTACTAATGGTGTTTTTAATTTCAACGCTTGAAGAATATTTTTCATTTCTTGATAAAATCGAGCCTGACACTTTATTTTATGCATTAATTTTAATTAAATGGATTATTTCTACTTGGGAACATTATCTGTCTTACAGACAAGTAAATTTCTTTTTTAAATGCAATTTTTTGAAAATATTTACTCTAATTTGACTAGTATCAAAATTATAAACGTCATCAAAATGTTCCAGCTGAACTAACCGATGTAATGACAGATGATGAACTTAATAAAGCACGTTTATATGCTATGGACAAAATGCGTTACAATGAAATTCATTCGATATTCAATCAAGTTGAAACAACGGTAAAATAATTTTAGTTTTATTCAAATTCAATTTTAGTTTTCTTTTTCATGCAACTAGATATTACTGTTGATTGGTGTTCTTCCATGGTTATGGCAAACATCTGGCAATATATTAGCTAAATATAATTATTTCAATTATGAGATACTGCAATCCATTGTATTTGTTGGTATTATTATGATCTATTCAACAATATCAAATATTCCTTGGTCATATTATTATCATTTTGTACTTGAAGAAAAACACGGATTTAACAAACAAGTAAATTAGAAATATTTATTTCAATTAGAAAAAAAAATGATCTGTATGTATGTATATTTATTTATTTTTTAGACAGTTAAATTTTTCATCAAAGATACTATTAAAAAATTACTTGTTACATGTATATTAACACTACCCATAGTTTCATTGTTGATTAAAATTATTCAGATAGGTGGTGATTACTTTTTTGTTTATGCATGGCTTTTTGTTACAACTATGTCATTGGTAAAGTTATTCAACATCCACAAAAAAACAGTACATTCTTTTTATGTTAATATTCAATTTAGATAATCGCATTCATTTATCCAAATTATATTGCACCATTATTTGATCGTTATGATCCATTACGTGAAGGAGAACTACTTACAAGCATCGAAACATTAGCGGCTAAACTCAAATTTCCGCTTGCGAAAATTTATGTTGTTGAAGGTCAGATTGAAATAGGAATTAAGAAAATGCGTTATCTAAAACTTTTTAATAACTAATATCTTGTCAGACCGAGAAAAACTGTTTTTCTTTAATAATATACATTATAGACTCTTCTAAAACTAAGATCTCTTCTATCTAAAAAATAAAAAGAGAAGTAACCTAAAGATTAGAAAGCAGAATGGAATTCTATTCCGTTTTCTACCTGATACTTTGATCGACTGAATTCAAAATTTTTTTTTCATGGCAACTACGATTAAAGTGTAGTCGTTCTAATTTTTTTCTTCAATATATGTTTCTAGTGACTTCAGAGGCATCTTGCAGTATTGTCCTAGATAACAAAAAAATACCGACTTTTCTTGGTAGAATCTAAAGTATTTTGGCTCCGTTCTAGTGAAGTAATTAATATTTTTTAACAAAAAAAAAAAAGAAAGAATACATCACAATTCGATATTAGCTACTATCAACAAAATATACTGTTGCTGCGTTCAGACAGGGGGACATTTTCAGTCCTTACTCTATCTACATATCATTAGAAGACTGAATTCATACATTTTATGTCTCGGTTAACTCTTGTTCTATTTGACGAGATCTATTTATTGTGAACTCACAAGCATTATTGGTTCAATCATTTTTGAGAAACTCGAACAAGAGGATGATAGTTTTAGATAGTTTTTCATTCTACTAAATCAATATTTTCTTGCAATTACTTCAGTTGCTATTTGAAACTAAAATATATAAAATTTTGTTTGTTTTAGGCTCAGCTCGGTCGGCTCATTCTAATGCTTATTTCTATGGATTTTTTAAAGCCAAACGAATTGTTCTCTACGATACCCTTATAAAAGGTTATAGTATTAGTGAAAATAAAGATGATGTAAGCTAAATTTATTGCAAATAGATATTTAATTGAATTAAGAAATTATTTTGGTCATTTTAAGGATAAAGAAAAAACATCAGAAGCAGAAAATACATTAACTCATCGCAAAACAAATGATGTCCAGCAAGCCAATAAAAAGAAAGCTGAAAAAGGTTGTGAACCCGAAGAAGTTCTTGCTGTATTGTGCCATGAATTTGGACATTGGTCATTGAGTCATAATCTTATTAATTTATGTATTTCATTTGTAAGTTTATGAGACAAAAAGCGAATAAACTTTGTTTAATCTAAATTTCTTTATTTATCTTTTCCACAAGCTTAATTTATTCTTCGTCTTTGTCCTATTTGCTGCTTTGTTCGAACGTTCGGCTCTTTATGGAGCATATGGTTTTACTGCAACAAAACCAATTCTAATTGGTTTATTAATCATCTTTCAATATGTTTTGTTACCGTATTTTGAGGTAAATAGAAGTGTTCAATATAGTTATAAAGTTAACTTCTGAATTTTCATAGGTCTTTTCGTTTGCATTAACGGTATTATCTCGTCGTTTTGAATTTCAAGCCGATAATTTCGCTGTTAAACTTCATTATGCTGATTCATTGGGACGCGCATTAAAGAAACTTCAAGTTGATAATATGGCATATCCATTTTCGGATTATCTTTATGCAAAATATCATTATTCGCATCCAACACTGCTTGAACGTCTTAAAGCAATTGAATTGGCGAAAACAAGCTAAAATATTGCTTCATTATTATTAAACCTATAAATGTTGTTATTGCTGTTGTTCATCTTTAATTTTCTTGTGTTTGACATTGATTCAATAAAACGAAAAAAAAAACAAAAATATTCTCGACTCATTCTTATTTTTTATTATTTTTTTATAAATTTTTGTTACCGATAATAGGAATGTTTAAAATAGGGCTAGCATAAAAAGTCTTCTTGGTCGCTCGCAAGTTAATTTCTTTGCACAAAATAAAACTTGTTTCTTTTCGAAAAGCTTCATAGTTTCACTCATTTGAACAGCAGCATTTACAGTTTTAGAATTCGAACAAAGTGTTGGTCATAACATTCTACGATGTTGATGGTCCAACTTTGAAGATAAGACGTAACCTAAAAGATTCCTCAGTAAAATTCTGACTTTTCGAAAAATATGTTTAGTACAGTGTTCGCCAAAAGAGATCTACTATTTTAGCGAATTCATTTACCCTTGTTTTTCATAAAGAAATATATTGCGCATCAATATTTGCTAGTGTAAAGTGGATTGTAGATGAGAATTGTGTATACAAATAATATCATCAAATTGAGATAAATAGAATTGGTTAAAACAAAACCAAAGAGATCTAGTACGAATATTAATAAATCATACGTTGCAATGTATTGATAATAGAGGAAATCAATGGCTATTCTGAGCATTGCATTTATTAGTTTCTTTTTTTTTATGAAATTCTAGATCGATGCCTTCAGATAATGAACAAGAAACTGGTGATATCAATAGAAAAGAAATCAAAATAAAAGTTGAACGATTCTGTGAACAAGCACAAATCTATCTAAATCGATTACCAGTACTTAAACGACAATTAGATGAAATCAATCGTTTAAATCAATTTGATTTGTATGTACAAAAATTGAGTAAGTTCAGAAGATCGAACCATCATCAATGAAGCAGCTACGTGCATTAGTCTATTTGAAAAGAAAAATGCATATACATGAGGTCTTTTAATCAAGAATTGATTAGACTGTTTTGATTTTAGACGAAATTGGAAAAATTGTTCAAAATTTACTTCAGAACATTCTTAATATTGAACAATTGCATCAACAATTGAATGATAAAGATCGAGTAAAACTCGATCGCCAAATTCGCCTTTTACGTTCTGAGATTGATCGCGAAATTTCAGAATTTCATATACTTCGTGAACAAGCTATGGCTTCTTCTATGAATAACAATTTGACATTAGCCGATGATACAACTCCTGTTACTGTTACTGATAATGATAATAATAATGATAATATACGAGAAGAAATCGTATCAAATCAGCTTCGTCAACGGCATGTAACAGGAGCAGATAGTTTAAATGACTCATACAATGCACTGGAACAAGATCTAATACTTTTACATGAAACTATCGAGGAAGTTGCACAACTTGTTGCACAGCAAAAAGAAAAACTTTCGCATACAGAACAATTGATCCATATGGCTCATGATCGAATACAGGACGCATCAACATTAATTCAAAGAGCAGTTCATAGTAAATATGTCACAGTTGCATCAGGTGCTTTACTCGGTGCTAGTCTTGGCGGACCTGTTGGATTCATGATGGGTTTAAAAATGGGCACATTAGTAGCATTGAGTGGCTCAGCTGTTGGTGCTCTTTCAGCAAACTTTTTACAACGACGAATTATGCGAAATGATGAGTCAGCTGATACTACTACTTCTTATAATCAAGCTATGCTTTGAAATGGACCAATTATATTTTCTTTGAAATAACAGTCAATTTTGTTTTTCAGTGCCTTGTACTTAAAAATATTTTTCGAAACTTCCAAAACTATACACATGTGCATATATTTATTAATATGGTTCAAATGCTGCAATATGAAATTAGGATTAACGTAAAGAGACTTATAAAAATTTGGAAAATGTTGATACTAGTAGGTGTAGTATCATCTAATGTTCAACAAGATTACATATTCTCTTCGACTAGACTATCTCATCTTATTCAAAACTCATAGTATTGTCAAAATGCTAATGCTCAATATGAGTATGAACAGTAAAAATATTCAAATAATTAGTTCAATACTTCTTAGATTACGATAATTAGTTTTAAAATTTTCAAAACTATCATTCGTCGGTGTATCTTGAAAGTCTCTGAATGTATTTGTGTATAAAGAGATCATGTTTACGTATATAAAGATGATTATGGATAAACAATGACTGTCACCAAATTCGCTGATCTATTTTCAGCTCATTAACCAATACACAGAATCTAATGACTAGTAGGTTTTCTAAGTCAGTGTTTGTAATTATACCAGAACTAATTCACTTATGTTATTTATTAAATTATAGAAAGTTTCGTTTATATGCCTGAATTCGATCGATTCTTTCTCATTTTCAGTGATGAAACCAACTTGAGTAAACGTGAATATCTACTAGAAATATTTATACAAGAACTATTTGATCTTCATCACATAGACTAAATCTATTCATTCTTCTTCGTTAAATTTATGATAAGCAAAAGCAAGTATCTACCAAAAGATTCTGTACGAAGTTAAGATAATTCTATTAAATTACACACGAGATTAGAACTATTCATGTTTTACAATACCGATTGATATTTATATTTATTCTATACACATTGATATGGAGTTTCTTTTTTTTTTTCAAATACCAAAAGATAAATACTATTAATCATTTATAGACTGTCCATTTGGCATTGAATGTTTGATGTAATTTCTGATTAACAAAACAAAACAAAAAACAGAGCATTTCATTGAATAATTATCAAATTTAGACCAAAAATATTTCTGAATATACATTAGAACGTATAGGAAAATCTTCATTAGAATTGATGTATCAAATAATTTTTGTCAAAATTATCACATGAAAAATTTTCAATTATTTAATAATTCAATAATAATTCTATAGCAAATGTATGAGCATGAATTTCACATCAATGAGTAGTGGCGTAATTTCAGATTTGGCTAAGGCCATCATGCAACTTGTGTTATGAATCATATGTACTTTCATTGTACAAAACAAATAGCTAGCCAATTTTCTCTCCGAAGTAATCATTTTCAAGACTTGACAATCTGGAATCAGTTTTCTGTTCTATTTCATTGATATAACATTAAAACAGCCAAAGCCTCTTAGTGTTATTTGCATCTCCTTGATTGCAGCTTTAATAACCTTCAGCATCATTATTAGAATCTGTGCTTTATCATTGTTGATCAATGATGATAACATGAAGAATTACATAATTTCATTATTCACAAGATAACGTTGAGCACTTTTTTGGCTTTTACATTTCTTATTTCGTTGCAATTTTAGAATCCTTAGAAAACAAACTACTAGAGAGAATATAGACGAATAGTATTGATTATTAATTTGAACAACAAGTAGAACGATGAAAATCCTTCTTATCAGATGTTTATACAAACTACTATAGAAAATTTTTGTACTGGAGTATTTCACAAAACTACTCTTTCTTTTTGTTCGATTTATTGAATATGAATTCATATTTCTTTGATCTATTATTATTAATTTTTCTTATGATTTGTTTGGAACTCGAAGTGGCAAGGCATGCCAACCAATATTTTCTTTTCTTTTTCTATTCGATTAATCAACCATTTAATATAATAAAGATGTGTTCTCAGTTTTTTTTAACTAGCATCGATTTTATGCCTGCTAAAAGATTCCGTTTGTCATTATTCACTTCCTGACACAGATGTATGTATGTGTGTGTTCGGTAGCTATAGCCCATTGATGATGTGAAAAGAAAGAGAAACCAACCGAGGGAAAGAGAGACATCCAATATATGTCGAATGTCTATTTGTTGCCATCGTGAGCGCAGCAACCAAACAAACACAAATCATCTATTGTGTTGCCGGCCGCATCTATGTTTCCTCGGTTACTCCTTGCGTTTTTTCTTCTTTCGCAACAGGCACGTCCGTCCGTCTGCTATATAGTTGCTACGATGATCATGCGAAGTATACGCTTAGTTTCTCTTTTCTTTTTTTCGTTTCAGTCGTCGTTGCCGTCGTCGTCTAACAACGTATACACACAACACACTCTTTCCATACACATCCACTTCATCTTTCTCTCTTTCTCTTTTTTCTTTCTCGCTTCGTATTTAAAAGAAGAAACTCAGTTCAAAATTGCCTCTCATTCTTCGCTGTAGACGTATACATTCGCTCGCCGTCGTCGTCGCTGCATATAAATATCTTTACACTCTGAACATAAAATACTCGGAAGAAAAACAAAGTAAATATTCATTAACCTAGCTTTCGAATTAATATATTAAAGAAAACCGTTTTTTTCTTCTTCTGTAGATGCGTGAATGTATTTCAATCCATGTCGGCCAAGCCGGTGTTCAAATTGGTAATGCCTGTTGGGAACTTTATTGTTTAGAACACGGTATTCAACCTGATGGTCAAATGCCTTCGGATAAAACCATTGGTGGTGGTGATGATTCATTCAACACATTCTTTAGTGAAACTGGTGCTGGAAAACACGTACCACGTGCTGTTTTCGTCGATTTAGAACCAACTGTTATCGGTTAGATGAAATGTTCATTCTCAACGAAACATAATTTTTCATGTATACTTCAATTCTAGATGAAGTACGTACTGGTACATATCGTCAACTTTTCCACCCCGAACAACTCATCACCGGCAAGGAAGATGCCGGTAAGCATTGATTGAAAATAGTTTCTTTATTTATCATTATGATAATTTGCTTGTCTAACTTTAGCTAACAACTATGCTCGTGGTCACTACACCATCGGAAAGGAAATTGTTGATCTCGTACTCGATCGCATTCGTAAATTAGCTGATCAATGTACTGGTCTTCAAGGTTTCCTCATCTTTCACAGTTTTGGTGGTATGTATCATTTTAATTTCTTGCGTTTACCAATGAATAAAAAACATTTTTCTCTATCTCGTGTTTAGGTGGTACTGGTTCAGGTTTCACATCATTGTTGATGGAACGACTTAGTGTTGACTATGGCAAGAAATCAAAACTCGAGTTCGCCGTCTATCCAGCTCCTCAAATCTCAACTGCCGTCGTTGAACCATACAACTCAATTCTTACAACACATACAACACTCGAACACTCAGATTGTGCGTTCATGGTTGACAATGGTTCGTAAATATATCTATTTGTCATTTTAGTAAAATTCTAAATTTGAAAATTTTCTTCGTAAAATTTTAGAGGCCATTTATGATATTTGCCGTCGTAACTTGGATATCGAACGACCAACATACACCAACTTGAATCGTCTTATTGCTCAAATTGTTAGCTCAATTACAGCATCACTCCGATTCGATGGTGCATTGAATGTCGATCTTACCGAATTTCAAACCAACTTGGTACCCTATCCACGTATTCACTTTCCTCTTGCTACATATGCACCAATTATCAGCGGTACGTTGTATAAAGATTTTATAATTGTTAAATGTTGACACTAAAATATTGTTGCTTTTTACAGCTGAAAAAGCTTACCATGAACAATTGACCGTCGCTGAAATTACCAACGCTGTATTTGAACCAGCCAACCAAATGGTTAAATGCGATCCTCGTCACGGTAGATAATTTTTTATTTGAAATTTTATTCATGAATATACACATATTGCGATTTAAGGAAAATATATGGCTTGTTGTTTATTATATCGTGGTGATGTCGTACCAAAAGATGTCAATGCAGCTATTGCTACCATCAAAACTAAACGAACAATTCAATTTGTCGATTGGTGTCCAACTGGCTTCAAAGTCGGTATCAACTATCAACCACCAACAGTTGTACCTGGCGGTGATTTAGCTAAAGTTCAACGTGCAGTCTGCATGTTATCAAACACAACAGCTATTGCCGGTATGTTGGATTAATTGATAGAGATTGTTTTTGAATTTAAATATTATTTTCTGTTTTATTTCAATTCTACAGAGGCTTGGGCTCGTCTCGATCACAAATTCGATTTAATGTACGCCAAACGTGCTTTCGTTCACTGGTATGTCGGTGAAGGTATGGAAGAGGGTGAATTCTCTGAAGCTCGTGAAGATTTGGCTGCACTCGAAAAGGATTACGAAGAGGTCGGCGTTGACTCAGTTGAAGTATGTTTCTTTTTTTTCATTGGATTAGCAGACCGTTATATTTAAAAAAAATTTTCTCGTTTAGGGCGAAGGTGAAGGTGAAGGTGAAGAATATTAAACAGGCAAAGAATAATATCATTGAGAGCACAGCAACTTTAAGAACAATAAAATATTCTATCAAACTTTCTAGTTTCTTATCGTGTACTATCGTTTTCTTCTTTTTTTTTGGTTCTGTATCTTTTCCACTAGTTTGACAACAAGCGAGAGATCTTCTATGTAATACAATGGAATTCCTTCTTATTTTTAATCAATTTTTCTGTGCTACGCCTGAGAGAAAAAAAACATCAAATAAACAAATGATTCACTTTATTCCAATTAAATCGAAAATGCTCAAGTCGTGTCGCATGTTTTGTATTGAATATTGCTCATAAGAAGAATTTTATTTTATGACTTCGGTCTCGATTCACTGCCAGTGATGGTGATTTATCAGTTGCATAATTTATTTATTGAAGAAAAAGCAGCGCATTCGGCTCATTTGCATTGATTCAAATTTCACGCAGATCGTGGATGCTTTTTTTCTGCTGATTTCTTTTTCTTGTTACAACATATGTCATCTGCACAGATGATGGAAGTACGAAAAGAAATATACATTCATT